TGAGTTGACCTCTCCGCGTTGGTTTTTACTTTGTTCTTCTGCAAGGGGTACCTGTGCTTTTCCTGGCTGCAAACCAGCTCTGTGTGAGGAAACAGTAGCCATGTGTCAGCTGGGCACAGAGGTTTGTCCCAAGGCTTTTCAGCTTCAGGTCCTGGGAAGGCCTTTGGCCATCAAGGAACTAATGAGGGAGACCACTGAAGCTTAGCTGCTCAAATAGAGGATGTTCAAGGAAGTTGGGTCAGAATTGGGATTTTTCCTAGCTAGTCTTGAACCCTCTTACCTGCAGGCCCTTGGAGGTGGGTGGTTCAGAAGCAGCTGTGCCTCCTGGTGGTGCTTGTTGGGGATTGAACCTGAGGATGCCCTAGGGCAGGTGGGTGCTCACCTGCCTGGAGATCTGTGGCTCCTGTGCTGGGTTGTGGGCCTGGAGCAATGGCTGGGTTGTCTGTGCAGCTGTGGGGTCAGTTTGTTTCCAAACACCTGCCTGCGCTTTGTAGCTGATAGAGTAGCTTGGTTGTGGTTCAGTGGGGCTGTGTGGTGGAGAGTAGGGGTGGGTTTTAAACAATTTAAATACAATTTGGAGTTGAAAAGAACCTGTGTTCTGGCACACTGGCATTTTAAGGGAAATGAAAGTAGTATTATCTAATGAAAGTATAGCTAGTTGGAGAGGCTCATTAGGGAAATGTGTATTGCATCTTGTTAAGCTTTAATCACAAGCTGTTCTACATTAATGACCCTGGCTAGCTCTCAAAAGTGCTTAAGGGAAGGACAGGAGTGCCAGAAAGGCACTTGCAGGGCGGTGAGGGAAGTGCTCAGTAAATGGGTACAAGGCTGTGCACCCACATGTGCAGCATGCCTTCTGTGGAGGCAGCAAAATGCTGCATGGGAACAAGCTCTGGAGGTGGCTTTTCTGAGCAGCTTTGTACTGGTCACTGTCAGGTCTGTGTGCCCTTTCTTCTCTGGTGGGAGACACCGGGCAGCCCTGAAAGAGTGGAAAGAAGGATTAGTGGAGGTCGTGCGTGATGAAAGGTTGGTTGCCATCTGCTACTGCCTCTGTGGCAAGGGGGAATTGAAGCATAGGTTCTGGGCAATTCAGTGGCTTTGTCTTTGCTGTGGGGCAGAGCCCTGCCCTGGTCAGGCAGCTCACCAGGAGAGCAGTGACATGCCTTTCCCTGGCTCAGTGTCCCCATCAGCAGAGGCAATATGGGATTGTGTTGCTCTTGAGCAGCAGAGGCCACATCCCCGACTCTCTCTACTCTGGCTGCTGTGTCATTAGCAAAGGTTTGCTCTTCCTTGCAGGGTATGAAGCTGCAATGGACAGAAGGTTTGGGCTGGAACCAGGGACTCTCTTTTGGGGCCTCAAAAAGGTAGGATGTCTGACTGGTACCAGCATCTTTTATTTTGTGGCAATAATGTTAACTTCATGTCTCAATGCTCGTTGTTCACTCAAGCTTCTGATTTAGCTTCAGAGGTTTGTAGTAACTTTGCAGATTTGGATATTCATAGTTAATTTTAATCTTTTTTTTTTAATGAAGAGGAGAGACTTGCCAGGTGTGTCTAGATCCAAGAATTATAACCAAAGTTTTGTTTCTCTATTTGACCCCTGGTCTAAGCACTTTTCCTTCGTTACATCACTTAATAGCCTTCTGTTATACTGCTTGGCTTTAAAATCTGTGATCACCCCTGATATTTCCTGCAGCCTTTTTCCCCTTTTTCCTGTCACTGGGTAGTTTGGATAATGCTTAACGTCAGTGAACCTGCTTTTCCTTCTTTGTTGGCCTGTAGTCTACCATAGAGGAGAACAGATTTTTGAGGCATAAGGGCTTAAAGAAACATGGTTGGGCTTAAAAAAATTGATAAGAAAACTAGCACTGCTCTATCCAAAACCAAAAAACAACCAGGCCCTCCCCTCACCTTGCCTGCTTTTGACCTCACAGCCTTTTGAAAAAGTGCAACTCATATTGAGGATAGAATTATAGAATCATAGAATTGTTCAGGTTGGAAAAGACCTTAAAGATCATCAAGTACAACTGCAAACCTAGCACTGCAAAGTCCACCACTAAACCCTGTCCTGAAGCACCACATCTACACGTCTTTTAAATACCTCCGGGGATGGTGACTCCACCACTTCCCCGGGCAGCCTGTTCCAAGGCTTGACAACCCTTTCGGTGAAGAAATTTTTCCTAGTATCCAATCCAAACCTCCCTTGGTGCAACTTGGGGCCATTTCCTCTTGTCCTATCACTTGTTACTTGGGAGAAGATACTGACACCACCTTGCTACAACCCCCTTTCAGGTAGCTGTAGAGAGCAATAAGGTCTCCCCTCAGCCTCCTTTTGTCCAGGCTGAACAACCCCAGTTCCCTCAGCTGCTCCTCATAAGACTTGTGCTCTAGACCTTTCACCAGCTTCATTGCCCTTCTTTGGACACGCTCAAGCACCTCAACGTCCTTCTTGTAGTGAGGGGCCCAAAACTGAACACAGTGTTTGAGGTGTGGCCTCACCAGTGCTGAGTACAGGGGGACTATCACTTCCCTACTCCTGCTGGCCACACCATTTCTGATGCAGGCCAGGATACTGTTGGCCTTCTTGGCCACCTGGGCACACTGCTGGCTCATATTCAGTTGACTGTTGACCAACAGTCCCAGGTCCTTTTCCACCAGGCAGCTTTCCAGCCACTCTTCCCCAAGCCTGTAGCGTTGCATGGGGTGGTTGTGACCCAAGTGCAGGACCTCAGCACTCGGCACTCAGCCGTGTTGAAACTTGTGCAGTTGCCCTTGGCCCATCGACTTAATCTGATCCTACCTCGGCTTTGTTGAAACTTCTTTTCCAGGAAGGTGCCTTTTCACCCAAGCTCTTGGTTTTCCAAGATAGGGTTGCTCTCCAAATCCCTCAGGAGAGGTGAGGGGCAGGTGCAGGGAAGGCAGTGCTTTGCTTCTCTGTTGCCTGTCTTAAAAGCTCTTTCTTACAAGGTTGAAAGAAGTTGAAAAAAATAAAAATTCCTGACTAAACTTTCCATGAGTTAAGTATAGTCCAAAATGGCTTTGTTTTTTCCTTTCTAAAGGGGGAGGGGAGGGGGTAACCCACCTGAACTAAAATTAAAAGGATCAGGGCAAGCAGAGGTATGAATTTATTGGGTTTGAAGAGATGATCAGGAACAGACTAATTTGGTGTTTTCTGAGAACCTTCCCGACAGGGAACCAAAGCAAGGATGTGTTGGACTGGGAAGCCCTGAGGAGTGGGACCCTTGTTCCTGGCTGCATCTCTGTGTAGTCACCAGCCTTGTTCCCCATGTCCTGGGGAGGAGGTGTGGGTGGGTGCCTCCCTGCCTACTTTGTGGTTAGAAAGCTTCCATGATGTTTGTAGGGAATGGCAGTGATCGCTGCTTGGTCAGGTTCAGTGCTAGCATGGGATTTAGGAGTCATGACACTAAAGCACTTTTTCTGAATGTCACATCATTGGAAGCCAAAATGGAGCTGTCAGAGCTCACTGCTGTTAGTGATCAGACTGCATTGCTGAAACAAGATGTTCCCCAGATGTTGAGTTGCGTGGTGTTGGGTAACAGACCTGGTGTTAGACACGTTTGCTTGTCCTGTAAGAGCATGGTTTTATGGCCAAATACACATACTGACTAGTTCCCTCGATGCCCCAGGACCCCATGGACTTTGAGTGGAGCTACTGGATTGAATGGGGAAGGGAACGTATACTGTGGCTTCTGGCTGGTCACCTGCTGGTATCACAAGTGTCTAGGCTCTTGGTGGAGAAGGTATGTATGGATTTTCCTCACAGCAGGGAGTTTCTGTGGGTTTCAGTTTATTCTGGGCATGGGAAACAGTACTGAGGCTATTGAATGTGGGAAATCCCATTCTGTGGGGTGAGCTGTGTGAGTGGGTGTGTAACAATGCACAGGTGAGAGTGAGTAGGTAGGTTGCCTTATGTCTGTGTTTGGAGACTTCAGCCTCCCACCCTTGAAAGCATGTGCTTTGTAGTGAACCATTAACCAGTGTCATTTGACCTGTGCACAAAAGAAGGGGGTAGTTATTCTGTTCCAAGATTGTAAAGTGATGACTGCTTGAGTTTTGGCATGATTGTTGGAAATGATTGGCATGTGGTGTCACACCTACTAGTTTGGGGAAGGAAAAAGAGGAAGTTATGTTTTCCCCCAGATCAGAGAGGCTCTGGCTTTCACACATGCTGCTAGAGAAACCCCTTCCCTTCCATTTTTATGGATACAGTTGTGTTTCCCTGTATTGTTTCATATGTGTTCTAACCTTGTTGACTGTGTTTGTTTCTACAATAGACCCTGTGAGGACAGTTTTTCTTTAGACATAATCAAGCTGAAAATTGTTCATTTTTCTTTTTCTAACAGTATAAACCATGGTGCTTGATGGTTTATGGAATGGCTGCCTGCTGGTTGTTACTGGGAATCAAGGGCTTTGCTGTCATTTTGTTACATGCAACTATTTCGTTTGCTGTGGCTCAATTTCAGCTGTCACTCCTGACATGGTTGTGCTCCCTTACCCTACTATCCACTTTACGCATACCAGCTGTGGAAGAAGCCAAGGTAATGTGAGAAGGACTAATTAAGCATCAAATTAATTATAGTGATGTTTGTCCTTTATGGTGGAGTGCTACCCCTTTGCTTGATGTAAGCAGAGGTTGACTTGAAAAATCTTAGGCAGTAGTGCTGCAGTGACTCATGCTGGAGCTTCTCCAGTTAGAAAAGTGGTATATCTCAATCATGCTGGCTGGTGCATTGAGATGGAAGTATGTGCCTTAATGTGTAAGTAGTATTATGTAGAGATGGAGTATGATAATACTTTACCTAGTGCTCTAGTAAACACATTTCTTGTTCTTTGGAGCTGAAGTCATGCCAATTTAAGGTGCTGGGTTTTGGATTCGTATCCAGGAGTTGCTTAGTCAAGCTTGACTGTACTTTATTGGTGACTGCAGGCTTCTGCATGGGAAGGGAGACTGTTTCTCCAATACTTTGATTTGTACCAGACAAGTTGCACAACTGGTTGGTGCAAGCTCAGTTTTGCTCTTTCTGTAATGGCTTTTAGTGGACAGTACAGCTTTTAGAGAAACTGCTGCTCAGTTGTGAAAAAACGTCCTTGTTGCATTTACTTGGACTAAGTGGAAAAACTGGACATATGTTATAAGGCTTGTTGTTCTGATGTTTGGGGCAGGGCAGAGGGGAAATGAGTAGGTAGGGTCTTTTCATGTGGTGTAGACAGATTTGTGTCTTGCTAAGAGGAGGAAAGGGCCCACCGCAATACAAATGTTACCAGCCAAACTGTCTGCTGATGTTTCCAAGTTTTTTCTGATGACGTGTTTTTGTTGTTGGAAACAGGTGTGACAGGGAATGTCAAAAACTTGATAAAGGCTCAATAACATCTTTCGAGTCTTGGGCTTTCTTAAGAATGACTGATTCTCTTCAGATCTGAACTGCAGCCTTGGTTTCAGCTCTAGCAATCCCTTGTCTGTCATTAGGGTTGCCAGCTGGTTTGGATATTGTATTACTGGACCAAACCTGAAGGAGATAATTGTATTCCTGTACAAAAAGCTTTCCTGCTGTCATAGTTCTTCACAACCTAATATGTTTCTGAAATCAAGCTATTGTCTCTCTGCGCTGGTTGCAATAGCTCCAGAGGCCCTTTCTCCATCAACAGCCAGTGCTGCTTGTTCATGCATTAAGGAGTGCTCTTCACTTTAGATGCTCCTTCTAGCTGCTGTTTGCTTTAGTTGCTTCCTGCTGCTGGTGACCCTGAAAGTTAGGATCTGGGTGGACATTGCTGTCCTGTCATATAGAAAACACAGCATTGCACCATTGTGATCTGTCTTTGTTTTGTCTTTCAGAGGAAGTGGTACGACACAGAAAATGAGTATTATCTGCTGCTCTTCACTGTGTCTGTCCGCTGTCTCTTCTGCACTAGCTTCAGCCTGGAGTACTGCTGGCATGGACCTGCCCAGAAGTCATCCCACTCCTTCTTGTGGATGCTGGCATATGTGTTTTATTATCCCACGTTCCACAATGGACCCCTTATGAATTTTGATGAATTCAGTAAACAGGTAACAGTGTTTTTAAGGTCTCGCAGTTACAGATTTTCAGTGCATCTGCACCTCAGGTGAATTGGGTAAAGAACTATTGAAGTGGATGATGATCCTTTTTCAGCTGCCAAATCTAGACTCAGACCCTGGACTTTGAGGAATAGATTAAAGCATGATAGGTTGATTTTTTTTTTTTTTGTTTCACTCATCCTGAGAGATTTTAATACCAATTGAGAAAATGTTAGGTAGACAATTTCATCCAGTTTTCCTTGAGATATTCTTTTCATGGTGTGTTTCATAATGTAGTTTACAAGTAAGCCTGAGTTTCTACTTATTTTCTAGTTGCCTACTTGACAAAAATTGATACTGATGAGACTTTCAAACAGAAGGTGTTCCTAATGTTAGTCTGTATCTATCATCCTTTTCTCTGTAAGTGTTGAAGTATGCTGCATGCAAAAGGAAGGCTGTAGTTAGAAACCAGTCTTGGGTATTCATGCTTGTATGCCAGCTGTGGCATAATACTGAACTCGCATAAGGCTGGTAACAAACATTGAGAATATATTTAGTCAAAATAAGTCTTTATATCTAGTGCTTGGGTGGAGAGAGTTTGATTAGACTCCAATGTTAGAGAAGGTGGAAAGAAAGCAAAATAGTTTTTGAAGGCTGGATGATTAATCTTTCTCTGTCAGACTCTGATCTCTCTTTCCTTCTGAAATAAATATTTTTCCCTAAATGAGGTACTTTGAAGAAAAAAAATCCAACAAAACAAACCACCACACCTACAGAAAAGGGGTTTTCATTCATACATATTTTTACTTCAGTAAAAGCAGCTATAACTGATTCTATAATATTTTTCCTCCTTACTAGTGATTTGAAGGATTTCAGTTTTTACTTAGTACTCGGAGATGAAGAATTGTTTGAGTGTTTAAATCTGTCTTCCACATAACTTTGAAAATATTAAATAATGTTCTAGGAATATGAAGACTGGACCATTTTGAGCATAGCATTGGAAATTTGACAATGTCCTTGATATCAAATTTAAGACAAACCTTCTCCCCCAGATTGTTCTACTTTACAGGATGTTTTTGTTTGACATCCGATTCATTCCTTCAGCCAGGGAGCTGATGACACACATTGCTACATTTGGAGAGTGTTTACAATTTTAGCACATAGTTTTTGTTTTCCTTTCCTCTATCAGGCTGAATAATGTAACATTTTCAGCAAGAGCTGGCTGTTAACTCTGAAACAGATTTCAGTCATAGAAAGCTGATGGTTTGTAGTGGGAATTCCTGAAGACCCCAGTTTCCCTCATGTTGGTGTGAAAGCAGTTGGTGGTTTATTTGGAACACTTTTCTTCAGACTTCAGCAAGCTGAGCAGCTTCTTTAATATGAAAGACCTACTATCTTACTGCACTTCTTTTTCTAGTGCCTTGCAGGCTGCTTTTCAAGCCTGCTTCCCCTGTCATGTAGAAACCCCCAGGTTTCCATGCTTTATTGCTTTCCTTGCACACTTGAGTAAGAAGTGAAATCATCACCTGTGATGTCTATAGCTAACATCATTGGGGTAAAATGGATGAGTGGACATTTCAAACTATAAAACTGCTGTTTCATTTTATGTATAGAAGCCTAGGCGTTGCTTGCTTCTGTTTATATTTGAAAATTTTTGGTTGAAGCCACAGGAAATAGACTGGTCTTTATGAAAGCTCTTTATAAAGCTGAGATTCTGGTGGACCCCTCAGTGACAAGTCCTATGCTCATTTGTCTTCAGTAGCTTTGGAAGATGCAAGGCTGAATGTTGTTATCCTGGGATGGATGTTGTAGGAAAAATCCACATAGACTTGCATAGAAACGGAGGTAATTTAATTTTTTACTGTTTATTGTTTTGTAGCTCCTGAAGTGTGTTAAATTCCACCTATATTCTTGTACCCCTAGCAGAGGGTAAGGGTTTTCTTTTTTGGTGGCTTGTGGTTCCCCGCCCCCCCCCCCAGAATGTTTCAGAAGACCTATGAGACTCCAGGTTGAGAACAGCTTGGGGGTAGGTGGTTGTTGTGGATAGGCCCAGCCAGCAACTAAGAACCATGCAGTTGCTTGCTTGCCCTCCCCCCACCCCCGGTGGGTTAGGGGAGAGAATCAGGAAAAAAAACTTGTGGGTTGAAATAAAAACAGTTTAATAGGACAGCAAAGGAAGAGGAAACAACAATGATGATAATATTACTGATAAAGGAATATACAAAACCAAGTGATGCACAATGCAATAATTGCTTACCACCCAGTGATCAATAGCCCGACCCCAAGCAGTGATTCCCAACCGCTGGCCAACTCCAGTTTATGTACTGAGCATGACGCTACACGGTCGGGAATATCCCTTTGGCCAGTCTGGGTCCGCTGTCCTGGCTGTGCTCTCTCCCAGTGTCCCATGCACCTCCCTGCTGGCAGAGTGTGGGGGGCTGAAAAGTCCTTGAATGAGTGTAAGCACTACAACTACTGAGCAACAACTAAAAACATCAGTGTGTTATCAACACTGCTGTCCTATCAAATCCAAAACACAGCACTAAATCAGCCATCAGGAAGAAACTAAATCTATCCCAGCTGAGACCAGGACAGTGGTAGGAAAAATTGAGAGTGGGGGTGTGTGTGTGTCTTGCATTGAAACTGAACTCATCTGATATGGCTCAGCAAAGACTACCTGTGTTGGTGTGAGGAGAAGGAAGATTGAGAAAGGGATGCCTGTATTTGCAGTATGTTCTCATTTAAATGTGCACAGACCTGTTTGGTTTAAGCCATAATGAACATGGAACAAACTGAACAACCTTAATGTGTTTCTTGTTGGTGTTTGCTGAAGTGCGTTGTCAGAGCTCTTACCTGAGCAGAGGATATTGCCCTGGTGGGTGACGTTGGAGAAAGGTTTTCAAGTTTGCAGTACCCAGCAGTTGATTTAAAGCACACAATACAAAGAGTGTGTTTATTGCTGCTAGTAGAAAAGCCCACCTGCAGAACCCCTTAACTGAAGCTGAGACTGACATGAGGGCTACTGCTGAGCACACTGGAAAGCAGAAGTCCTGGAGATGTATGGCCCGAAGAATGCAATACCAATGCTGGCAATTGGCATCCATTGCCAGGCAAAAATAAGAGACTGTAGCACTTCATCAATGGCCTTGTTGAATTTCTGGGCTGAAGCAGAGCATAGCAGTTCTAGTCATGGGTTTGAAGGCCTGTTGTGTAAATCCTGGTGATTAAATGGTAGTCTCCAAGCTTTCATCTAGCTGGTACAAATGAACCTTCAAAATGAGTGTTCTGCTTCATTTGAAAGCTAGCAGATTTAACTGTATGTTAGCTGTACTGTGTGCTTGCAATTACAAGGGGGTTTTGTCTGTACAGATGGGTTGGTTGCTTATCTTGTATGTGCATTTTTGGTGGCCAGTTAGAGACTGGAGAAGGAGTGATAGATGTAGAAAACATGACTAAATTTTTAGGCAATCCTATGTTTCTGTTATTTGATCATATTCTCTCTTACTGTGGAAAGAAGGTAAAATAATAGTATACCAATGTGTTTACTATAGTTAGCACCGTAAGAGTTTGGGGCATCCTGAGAAGCCTGTCAACTGCCAACCTTGTCTTACCTGGTATTTAATTTGCACTTAACTGCCATTTGCTCAGCATGTCATTTAGGTCTTGCTGACCTTAGCAATGCTACAGGAGAAAAATGAAGAACTGTCCTCAAATAATCAGTCCCATGCAGCTGGACGTATTTTAAGAGCAAGCAGTGATTGTTTCTGTGTTTGGAAGGGCTGCTGCTTGGAAAACCTTCTCCTTCATAGCTGCTTTTTTTTTTTTTAATTTTTTTTATTATCTCTAGAGGTTGATCAAGTTACAGGAATTAAAGTCTCATGTCTGGATTCTGTTCAGATTAACAGCAGTTGGCCTTTTCTACCACAGTTTGGTGCAGTGTATGTTCACATTTGGCCTCGTGTTGATTTCTACTGCTTACTAAGATTGGGAATGGACAGAGCTATTTCCCTCAAGAGTATGTCAGGAATTTCCAAATGGTGTAGTCAAATGGTCCCCTTAGAAATAGTAATGAATAGCAAATTAAATATAAAAAAATTCTCAGGAAGAGTATTTGAGTAAAACAGTCAGTTATGTGCCATATAACCTCTTTGGATTTCTTCTTTAGATGAGGAGACAAGAAGCCTTCTGTTTCAAGACCAACCTCAGCATCTTAATCATGGGCATAATTCGTATTTTCTTTTGGTGGTGCCTGGCTGAGCTGATGATTCACCTCATGTATATCCATGCTCTCTATAGCAGTGCTCCACCTTTGGAATCTGCATCATACTGGGCTTTGGGTGAGTATAGAAACAATAGCAGAAATCTTCCTGCTCCTCCCACTTCAAGAACCCCAGTCTACTTCTCTTTCATGTCCATCTATAGGTACTTATGAATAGTACGTTATGGCCAGTCACTGTCAGTAAGGTGATCTACAGTCTCTTCATAGAACATGTAGATCCTCTAAGAAGTGTACAATAGAACTTACTGAGTTGCTTCCTAAATTAAAAACATATTCTGAGTTTTTTTCCCATCTAAAGTGTGTGTCTAAACTTTGGTCTAAATTGGCTTCCCCCTGCAAAGTCATAGAAGTGGACACTTAAAAAAAAGTTTCTTTAGTATAGGGATGGAGGAGGGGGGATGCTAAGAATTAAAATGTTTATTGATACCCTTCTGTGTTTTGATGTTTCTAGTTTGTATTCATGTTGAAAGGGAAAATGACAGCAGTCATAAAAAGAGCAGAGGGAAGAAATTGCAAACAAGGTGGCCTGGAAGGAGCAGTCAGTGCCTCTCAGTTCTGTTTTCCTGCTTGACCTCCCCTTCTGCCCTCTCCCATCTCCCTGGTATTTCATTAAAAGGCCTAGCTGTGAGGAGAAGATAAGTGCTGATGAATGTAATATAAACTGGCAAGAACTTTGGCTGCTGGTATGTAGGTAGATGTAAGCTAACCTGTAAGACACCGGCATATGTGGTTGGTTTGATTTTTCCACTGTCCTACGTATGTCGCCAGCTAGGAGGAACAAAAGCAGAGAAACTTCAGGCCTTAAAATTGGGTTCTGAAAAAGCCTTGGTGATTGCTGAATTGAAGAAGATGCCTCTTATTGTACTGATAACTAACAGGAATCAATGCACTGGTATGGTCCTGTCAAGCATTCATTGAAGATCATGTATGATGAGCGGTGTGAGTGGTGGAGGACACTTGTCTATTGGACTCTCGTCAGTAGAGGGCAATGTGTGTGCTCTGTCTCTTTATGTATATATGTATGTGTGTATGTATATACACTTAATATATGTTTCAATATATAACTTTTATATATAAAAAAGAGCGAGAGCAGAAAGTGGGAGGTTTGCCTCCATGCTTCATTCTACTCAATCCACTTTTTAAACAGCGACTCTGAGCTTTTGTCTTCTGTTCTAAATGTCACTTCACTGATGAATTAAATCTGTTAGCTCCTGGTTTTGTCTGTATATCTGACAAAAAGCTTTGCTGTGTTACTGAGCATGTGGAACCTGGTAAGGGCTGGCCACTGGATAAGACAGGCAAGGCTATGGAATTAGGGACTAAATATTCCATCTTTGGTGTTACTGGCAGATTCCTCTTCCCTTCAAGACTACCAATGTTGATTTTAAAAAAGAGGGGGGGAAAAGTTACTTTCCAGACAATAGCTAAGTAGGCTGTATATGTATTTGATGAAATCAAGTGTTATATCATAAGAATTAAAATGCATTTTGAACAGATTATTAGGAAAGACTAACATGCCTCAAAGCAACAGGTGGTGAAATTCAGTGTTAAAGAAGTTGGGATTGTAAAGCTTCCTGATGAAAATATGATCATTTGAATTGAAACAAGGCCTTGTGGAGACCCTGCTTTTAGGAGAGGTATATTCAAAGTGTTAACCCTACCCTCACTGAGCTTTTTCTTTTTAGGAATGAAAGCAGGTGTTTAAATATACTACAAATGAGACTGAGGCAGAATTTGTCACTTAATATGTTTTCAGTGCAAGTTTTATCACCATGATTATCCAGGTCTCCTTAAACTCAAACCAGTGGCAGGCCACTGTCTGGCTTTAAAGAGCCACTGATATATGAGTAAGGGTACTGGTAATATTTTTCTATTGATCCTTATGGATCTTAACCATGCTTCTACAGCAGTTCTTGTACAGAGCTAAACACTCCTCTCTGTTATTTTGCATACTGCATTATTAAAACCAATGACATCAGATAACAGAGCCTTGAGACCAGCTTTTTGTTGACTAAGGGGGATTAACCACATGGTGTATTAGCTGTTCTTCACTGCTGGGTATGTTTTTTTGTTCCTTTTCTGTTTCCCATTTAACTACAGCAGCTTCAAAGCAGCATGGAGCATCTAATTACATCATGATCTTGGCTTGTATCAGACATAAATAGTGTGGCCAGCAGGACTAGGGGAGTGATTGTCCCCCTGTATTCAGCACTGGTGAGGGCACACCTCGAATACTGGGTTCAGTTTTGGGCCCCTCACTACAAGAAAGATATTGAGGTGCTGGAGCGTGTCCAGAGAAGGGCAACGAAGCCCTGGTGAGGGGTCTGGAGCACAAGTCTCACGAAGAGCGGCCAAGGGAACTGGGGTTGTTTAGCCTGGAGAAGAGGAGGCTGGGGGGAGACCTAATTGTTGCTCTCTACAACAACCTGAAAGGGGGTTGTGGTGGGGTGGTGTCAGTCTCTTCTTCCAAGTAACAAGTGGTAGTACAAGAGGGAAACAGCCTCAAGTTGCACCAGGAGAGGTTTTGATTGGATATTAGGAAATATGTCTTCACAGAAAGGGTTGTCAAGCCTTGGAACAGGCTGCCCAGGGAAATGGTGGAGTCACCATCCCTGGACGTATTTAAAAGACATGTAGATGTGGTGCTTCAGGACATGGTTTAGTGGTGGACTTAGCAGTGCTAGGTTAATGGTTGGATTTGATGATCTTTAAGGTCTTTTCCAACCTAAATGATTCTATGATTATGCCTTGCTGCCTCAATAGCCTAGTAAACCTAGGGGGGGACTGTGAGGATGTTTTGCAGTCAGCTCTAATTAGGGAGATTATAACTGTTCCCCCATTTTGCTTCTGGGATATCTTTGAACAACAGGCAATAAATGCCAGCAGTGCTGTTAAAGACAACAGTGCTATGAGATTTTGCTCTTGGTGTCTTAAGGGCAGTGATGATGGTCAGTATACACCTCAAAAGTGTGAACCTACATAGTTTTCTGCATCACTTTGTGTGGTGTGTCTGTGAGACTGCAAAGAAATTTAAAAAAACCCAAAAAACCAAACACCCAAACCAAAACAAACCCTGAGTTGCAATACTGGTTTAAAAATGTTAGTGTACAACATCTATTAATGTACATGGCCATAAACTACAAGGCAGAAATGGTAAAGTTACCTGAAGTAACATTATACCTGTGTGCATTCAGATATAAACTTATGAAAAAATAGTACCTGAAAGAATGTGTTACCCAGCAGCAAGAGAATTGTTTTCTCTTGTGTGGAAGGAATTTGGCAAATGACTTTCTAGAAGCAGCAATATACAAAATGGTGCATGTATGGGTTTGATGCCTGTGTATTTAACTGTAACAAAGGTGCAAGCTGTCTTTGATATTACTGTTTGTATGCTGCTGTTAGTACATTTTGTGAATTGTATGGTTGTGTTTTAAACTTTTAAAATTGTTAAACTTTTGTCCTTTTGCCACTAAACTAAAGATCCTCTTAGGTCAAATGTTGAGGTGGTTCTTTTCTCCATGCCCTTTACAAGCCAGTACCTGCGCTACTGTAGCAACACTCCTGCTTATAGGTTATGTTACTTCATTCCTTCCAACTCATTTGCAAATGCCTAGTTCTGTGTATTCCCCTACTCTTCTCAATGCGAGTGTGTCAAAGTCAGCACGAGTTTCTCCCCTTCTAGAGGAAGCCACCTTCTGTCCCACATAACCCAGCTGACCTGTGTGTTTCTTGTGACACATATTACCATAGTGTCTTAAAGGCTCAGAGGGCATTGTAGCCTTGCTTCACTCTTTGCTTTTTGAATATCCCCCAGTCTCTTTATTGGCTATGTCACCTGGGTAGATGAAGTCTGTCTCTTGAATAAACAATGATGTGGCATGTACTTTCCTGAATTATTGTTGTGCTGTAATTGAAGTATCTGTGCAATCTCTTTAATTGCAGTTATGTGCAGGTAATAATTGTAACTGGAAGGTTTCAGGGTCATTAACTGGGTGATAAGTGTTGGGAATTGTGAGCAGAAGTCTAAAGACTGTGTATGTGGTGTTCAGGAAAGGTAGAACCTTCAATTCTCTCTCGGTTCCCTATTTTCCTGGATTACTCCTCTCCCTACATTTCCGAACTTGTGCCTGGCATCTGCCAGGAAAGGCAGCTTGTGTTCCTGCCCTGTGGATCAATGAGCTATGGAAGTACTTGGCTACGTGCTCTGAGAGACAGCAGGTTGCATCCTCTGTGCATCAATCCTTTAATGAGTAGGAAATTAAGTGTCTTGTTGCACTATGGGCCCTGGATTTTGGGGAGGGTTAAATGAAAAATGGTTGGAGTCCTAGCTGGAGAGTCCTCTGGAGAAGAGCAGCTTTCTTAAAGCTATTCTTCACACTATTTAAAATAACTTCTCTACTAGAAGAGAAAATGGACATTCATTCCTTAAGCTCTTCAGCTAGACAGTACAAAATCTACTGTTTAATTCAGTTTTTTCCCTGTTGAAGACTCCTAGCTGGTTTTCTCTCCATGATATGAGAAAGCTGGTTGCATCCACATCTTCTATGGACTAAATATGATAGAAAAATATTATGTATTTGTTTTCAGATACATAACACTTTGTTCAGTACTACAATCCCCACATGCCACATAGATGTCAGAATTTCTTCTACCACATATTCCTCCTCACATTTAAATTTGTTTCCTTTAGCATTCTGCAGATGCTTCTCTAAACTTGAGTGCTTATATCACAGCAAGCTGTGGCTGTGGTATTGGAGAACAAATGCCATGTGCATTAACAACAATCTGCATCATATGGGTCTGAAAAATGTGTCATTTCATGCTGAGTACACAGTTGTATTTGGTTTCTTCAGTGACCTGTGTTTGGTAGCAAGAATAACCTTCAAGTCAGTCTCTGGTATGTAGGAAGATGAGGTGGTGAGAGCTAGCTGTGTGTAGAGGTGCTTTTAGATATCCAAATATTAACTCTTTTGGGTAACTTTAGGTATAAATGATTTCCAGTGATGACCCATAGCTCCAGACCCCACAGGTGCTTTGACCTTCTCTGTGTAGGCCAGT